TGATAAATCCGGCCCTATGTGTATACAAAATGACAAAATAAATTGTGTCTGTCTATACAGTTGTTTCAACTTACTCATGTCAATGTGTTGTTTCTGTGTTAAAAATGACCAAAACCACGAAGAGGAAACATGGACTGATGTATAACCCATGCTATGTTTAAAAGCGCATACCTGTAGATACTGTATGTTCTGTCCTGTTGCCCTGAACAGACATTGCTCATCACAACCTCATATTGATTAATATAACAGGCTAAAACATGATTTAAATCATTATCATATTTAAATTATTTACTTGTTTTTTATTTAGGTATTTGTGCTACCTTTATGTCACTGCAATGTACTCTGTTTCTTTTTGTTTCTTGTTATAGCACTTTGAATGGTCTTGCTACTAAAATGTGCCATATAAATCAATTTGCTCTGTAACATACAGTATACCCGCCCTACTGTAAGGATTGGTTTAATTAGGGTTATGTTGAAAACATTATATTTTAAAAACAAAATGTCCTTTTCCTGAATTTGTTATTTTTCCATTATATTTTTATTCATATCTATTTCTATTTTAGTCTTAGAAATATTGAAATATGCACAAATATACATATTTTTGGTCAATTTCAAATATGAAATCAGATGATATAAGCAAACATTTACTCAGTACCCAGTAAGCTCTTTACCAAACACTTCTACTCTTTCTTAGTTGACTATTCATTACTTGAGCATAATTGTTGGAAGTACAGTCGTGATGTCCTTGCTTGAGTACATTTTTGTGTACTCTTCCCACCTCTGCCAATCTTGTTATTTATTTAACATTGTAATGAAACAGTTTCCAGTCAGTATGTAGATTCATTTCCTTTAAATAGGGCCTGCATGCTTCAAAACATGCATCCCCGTATTGTCCATTTGATCTAATCAACAGTTATTTTCCTCTGTATCCATATCTAGTTTAAAATATTTAATACAGTTTCTGTCTTAGTCACTTAAATAACATGCTGCTGTCATATCCATTATTGGATGTTGCTGCTATTCATCTCATATCCATTACTGTAAAAATGTCCACAGCTGT